CTCGTCATCAGGAAGAAATCGAAGCTGTAGAGCTACATGCATTTAGTGATGCCTCTATGAAAGGAGTTGGAGCGGCTGTTTATTCGGTGGTTCATCAACCTTCTGGAACCACTCAACAACTTGTAGCAGCGAAAGGTCGTCTTGCCAAGAAAACCTTAACAATACCTAGGCTTGAACTGGTTGGCGCGCACATGGCTACTAACCTGCTTATCAATGTACGAAACGCCCTTGATAATATCCCAACACCACAACTATTCGGGTGGATTGACAGTACAGTTGCCCTACATTGGCTCAAAGGGAACGGTCAGTATAAACAATTCGTGGCGAACAGAATGGCCAAGATACAGTTACACAAAGAGATCCATTGGAGATATGTGCCCACAAGTGATAACCCCGCTGACCTGGCAAGCAGGGGTGGTCAAATCAAACAGAAAGCGCTTTGGGAGAATGGTCCAAAATGGCTTCAAGACGAGAGTGAGTGGCCAGAAAATTTGGTGACGAAAGCTTCGCCATCCTCAGAGACGGAAGCAAGAGCAACAAAGGAACTATTAAATGTCGTAAATGTCAAGGACGATGCCGACGAATTCGATCGATTACTGGAACGCTTAAACTTAAGACGAGCCTGTAGAGTTGGGGTGTGGATCAAGAGGTTCATACACAACTGCAGAAATAACGACAAAAGGTCCGGACCAATTACGACGGAAGAAGTAATCAGAGAACGCGATTGGTGGATTCGGCGTGTTCAACAACGAGTACAGAAAGAACCACACTATCCAAAGTTGGTGGAAGAGTTAGGATTACGTACTAATGCAGATAATATACTGGTATGTCACGGGAGAATTCAAGGAAAATATCCAATATTCCTTCCAAGAAGCGCGAAGTTTACAGAGAAGTTAGTACAACGAGTACACAGTGAAACGCTTCACGGGGGAGTAAACTTAACTATGGCTGCAGTTAGAGAGCAATTCTGGGTACCTCGGTTGCGAAGCTTAGTCAAAATCGTTCGTAGCAACTGTTATGGGTGCAAGAGATTCCGCGCGTCAGCGATCACTAAACCGGTACCAGGTCAACTACCAGAAGAACGCACCACGGTCGGAGGAGCCTTTGAAGTCATCGGTACAGATTTTGCTGGTCCTATCAGATATAAGCAGAAAGGCAACAAGGAGGGAAAGGCATATTTGGCTATTTTCGCGTGTAGCCTTTCTCGAGCTGTGCATCTAGAGTTATTACCAAATATGGAAACGGAAACGTTCATACCATGTCTTAAGCGATTTATCGCGCGTCGTGGAAGACCACGTATCATTTACTCGGACAATGGTGGAACATTTATTAAAGCCGCAAAATGGATTTCACAGCTACGGAAGGATGAACGACTTCGAGGTCTTCTAGAACGGTACGAGATAACATGGAGGTTCAATTTAAGTCGTGCCCCATGGTGGGGCGGACAGTTTGAGAGGCTTATTGCAATTGTTAAGTCCGCCATGTACAAAGTAATTGGGAATGGTGTTCTTACTTGGACGGAGCTTAGTGAAGTATTGTTGGATGTCGAAACGCAAATTAATCGTCGACCGCTCAGCTATGTTGAAGATGATCTAGAGTTGCCAACTTTGACACCAGAAACATTCCTATATCAGCGCACGTCTCATTTGCCAGAACAGCAGACTTGGACAATAGCAGAACAAGATATTCGGAAACGAGCGAAATTTCTTAAATCGTGCAAGGATGGGTTGTGGCGTAGGTGGCAAAGAGAATATATGACTGCACTAAGGGAAAGACACAATCTAACGCATAAAGTGAGCAAATTTCGACCGACGGAAGGCGATGTAGTTATCGTGAAAGCAGATTCCAAGAATCGAGGAACTTGGCCCCTAGCAGTGGTTACTAAAACATTCGTGGGTAAAGACGGAGTTATTCGAGGCGTTCAGCTCAAGACTGGAAAGGGAACAATAGAAAGGCCAGTCCAATTGTTATATCCACTTGAGTTAGCTTGTGATGCCAAGCCGATCGCGAACAGAGTGAGTCTAAACCCAAGAGCAACAGAATTCCGACCCAAGCGAGCCGCAGCAGCTACAGCAAACGCCCGGATTAGACAAATCCAAGAGATAGAAGAAGAAGACGAGATATAAACACTTAACATTAATCATTAACAAGAGTAGTGGACTCTTATTAACGTTGACATTATTAGCTATTAGTAATATTAAGGTTATATACCGAACTTTATTAGATCATAGAACAACGGACAGTTATAACATATGCATCTAGTCTAGAATGCATATGGGGGGAGTGTGATGGAAACACTTGCATGGAAACACCCACCCTAAAATCGGGTTGGGGAAATTTTGGCGGGAAGCACATGTGTTGTTGTTGTGAGGAGTCGAAGCGAGTGACTCAGTATCGGGATTTATATGAGATTTATTATGTATTAAACTTTACAGTATTATTATTTTTGTGGGAAATTATTTACGGAGGCTGTTGAGAGTAATTTTCTACATGAAATGCTTGAGGGATCGTGAAACCAGGTTTACAATCCATAAACCATTTCACCATTTGCACGGATCATCTGTGAATCACTCCCACGATCCGTACAATCCATAACAGTGTGATTACCAAATCCACAATCGCGGCATTGGGTCATACTCTCCTTTCAGAATTTGATTACTTTATACGGCGTTTAAGTTGCATTTCGGAACTTAATATTTCATAATCTTTCCTGGAGAGAATGCCCCCAGACCCTCTAGATTTTTCCGTACCATCAGGCATCAGCGCTTGCTTGTTCACCCTGCTTTCTTCACTCTGGTGACGTCACTGAGTATTCCTTATCAAATTTTAGATATCTTGTGGGTGTTTACAATAAGAAAACTGGTACTATGGATGTTTATGATACAACAACATTCAAACTTCAACCACAAATTTCAAGTGTGTAGAATTATTGTTATATAAGTTTGCAGTATTTTTTTGTGTCTGCATATATCTGTATATAACTATGCATAATACAGTTGGTCGTTTAGCTAAAATATTTTAAAAGTTTTACCATAATGCAGTCGTGCACATGTTTCGCTGCAGAATGCATATGAACTCTGCATAATTATATCGACGTACAGTATTCATGCATGGTACAGTACTTGAGTATGCCTGAATTTTGCCTCCTGCTTTATTTTCCAGGTGATGAAACAGACGCGCAAGAAACTCCTTCTAGTTCTAATCTGTCATTTATGGAAAAGGTACAGAGATACAGTATATGAATTTTTGTTTTTAAAGTTAGTTGTTTATCATAAGCATGTATGATGAAGTGATCAACCAAATGGTAGTAATAGGTTCATATTAGAAGTGTAGAATATTTTCCTAAGTTGCTATCATGCCGTGATATTGAGTTTTACGTAGTATATGTACAGTATCAAATCCGACTATGAGGACTTTACCGGATATCCAGTCCGCGCCATTAGTTCAGTCCGAGGCGAAGCCGATATGACATCTCAAATTCACAAATAGATCAGTATTTTAAGTTGACGAAATTCTATGCTAACTGGGATGACATATCCAGTTGCCGTGGTCACTACTGTGATTAATTAATTGCTCATAATTTGAGATAATTTGGTAAGATTTTATAAATACATGGCGCATTTGTTTTGACTTTATAAAATGTAAATAACTATCATGGTGGTTACGGTATTATCGGAGCAGTGATTTTCATTTCTGATATTGTTATTTTTTTAGAATGATCGATTGGTGGACGCATTTGGCAGTACGAGAAGAAAGAAAGCTATGAAATCGAGATTACAAAACGCGATTGATTCTGAAGAACTTGGGCACTCTGTGTCTGGTGCTGTTAATCACATGATGAGTCAACCTGAACGGAATGGAGAGGAAGGTACAGACGTAACATTCCTCAAGATTTTATATTTTTACCACCTCACGAAGTTATGTATCCGCGTTGTTGTATGTGCTTGTGTGTTTGTCAACACGATAACACTGCCCAAAGACAAATGGTTAAATTTGAATGAGAAATGAGCAAAACTTTGTCTTGCTTAACTGAATGCGTAATTAGCCCATTGTATAATTTATGCATGATACATAATTCGTTGGCGCAGGTACAGTGTATGCAGTCTTCGAGTTCCCTCTAGTTATAATTATAGCATCAGTTGTACTGTTTGGTCATTTACTTCACTTCACTTAGTCCGTTTCTTATAATTTGGACAGGCCTTGCTTTTCATTTTTGATTGAAAACTTCGTCTGATAATATGTCAGACCAAGAAACAAGTTGTACACTGTCAGACAGTACAGTACATTACATTGTAATTATTTCACTTGCATATCTTACGAGAATGAGATTGATCAAATTCATGTGGTAAAATGGTCGGCCATAGTGTACACTGGACCGCATGCGTGATATAACTTACTGTCAGTAATAGGTTTATTGCACTTTCTTGCCCAATGGTCTCGTTTTCAGGTTTACCTGTTCTAGCATGGCAGGCGCACATGAAAGTTACAGTATATCCTCATGTTTCGGGAACAAACATATTTCTCTTTGATTGAATCCTTAAACCTACAGTATTGTGCACGAACATGAGGAAATAACCACATGAAGGCGAAGCCGTTGTGGCAAGAGTGCAATAAGCAATCTTTATCTCGAGATTTTTGGGTTTTAATTACTGTACTGTCATCACCATAATGTTTAATTGAATGATCTAATTTCCTAGCTTCTTCAAATGTCGCTGACTCCGATATGTTCCCAAGATATAACAAAGATGGTCAGACTGCTGCAGAAATTTATCCACTGTCTAGCTGTATCCTTTGTAATGACAATTATGAGGTTGATTATGATAAATGCATGTCATAACTCCATTTTTGAATTATCTTCAGAAATTTGACATCCTACTCGGCAACTACAGGTATAACAATGCTACAATAAGAACAACTAAAGTCTGTCTTTAGCTTTCAAACTTGCACTCTCGTGAATCCAATCCTATTAGCCATTTCCCAAAGTCCAGGGTCTTGTCGCGCAAATCCCAGGCTGGAGGGACAAGAAATATGGCAGCACACATTTAAATTAAATGTTTAATGTAAAGAGATATTTCATTTTTGGTCGTCTAAAAAGTTGATATTTGATAGTAGATACTTCTACTCTTTCACATATTTAACGTCTGTCACTATATATTCTGTCCCTCCAAACGATCCCAGAATGCACTGTGATCTATTTTGGGAAAAGGCTAATTGTATACTGTGCTATACCTCATTTGTATACTCATATACAGTACTTACCCAGACAACCGATTTTATCCGATTAAGCACATGCATGTAATCTAAGTAATCTATTGCGTAAACGTGCTTAATTGTCCAAAAATATTGACATTGCCAGATAATAATCGTTAACCGTTGCCTATGCAGGTACATGCATAATAAACTTAATATTTAAATGCTTGAGCATTGTGCAATATTATAGTGAGTTTTGCTAGTTTATGATACGCAGCTGGGTAGAGTGTAATGTGCATGATTGGGTTTTCCAAATAAAGTCAGATCATTGTCAAGCTCTTCGTATTCGTGGATTGTATATCCCGCGTTGGGTGCATGATATTTCTGAGTATCTCAATCGGGTGATCCCAATAGCCCAGTGATAGAGTGGTATGTTAAAACAGAGACCGGTTGGGAAACTCAGAAAACAGTTCAGCACAATTGTTTTTAAAAATTCAATTGAGGAGGCGAAAGCTATTCTGGCCCCCTTAAAAAAGTATATTTAGTGGGTTTTGTTTGAAGGCAGTAAACCTTCACCCAGGGATTACGTGAAAATCACCAAATGTAACTATAGAAAAATCATTATAAACCTTAACTCTATCCCAGTATTAAGCCAAGAAGATTTCGATGCATTAAAATCACCGGCGATAGAGATGATTTCTCAATTGAAGACTTACAAAGAAACCTGGCGACGAGAAAACAAGTATGTAACGGATTACTGTATTTGTGATGTAATTACTTTGTTTTTGGAAGCACCACAGACTAATTGTTCAAAGTACGATCAGCGCTAAGCCGCTAACCCTGCTTTAAAATTTAATATTGTGTTTTGATTTGTGTATTTGTGCAAGTCTGTACTTTTCCAAACTTCAGAAAGTAAAACTTCTATTGATCCATGATTTATTGAAATGTGTTTCTTTGCTAAGGCGAGACTTTTTTTATTTATTGGTTTACGGATTTGACTTTAAAAATAAGAGGTCGGTAGGTCGGAAAAAAATTTAAAAAAAAAACGAACTGAGTATAAATCAGAACCGAAATTAATAATCTTTATAAAAAATTTTTAACGTCAATTTCAAAAAAACGTGGCTAATCTACATATTGATTGTCACAACGATAACATGAGCCAGCAGTACCTAGAGTCAAAGTTCACTTGAAGTGTACTTCATGTCAGAACACCAAATTAATTAAAATTAACTAAAATTGTAAAATTTTTTACATCCAAACTTTTTATTTTTATTTTTCACTTTCTGAATATTTACGGTCGGCGGATCCGTAAACCAATGAATAAAAAAAGTCTCGCCTAAGTTGATCGTGTTTATGACGTCGAATATCGACGTCTTAAACATCTAAGTTGATCGCGTTTATGACGTCGAATATCGACGCCATAAACACCAAAGTTGATCGTGTTTATGACGTCGAATATCGACGTCATAAACACCAAATTTGATCGTGTTTGTGACGTCGAATATCGACGTCATGAACAGCAAAGTTGATCGTGTTTATGACGTCGAATATCGACGTCATAGACAGCAAAGTTGATCGTGTTTATGACGTCGAATATCGACGTCATAAATTATTATTATTATTATTATTATTATTATTATTATTATTATTATTATTATTATTATTAAGTCTTTATTAAACATAGCCACAACAGACGTGTGACTTTACATTTAAAATTCTCATATACAAGGTTCCAAAAAAAAAATAAACTTAATTATTATTATGTATCTAAGTTAATTATTCTTAGGTAGAATTCTTAAAAAGACTAAGACTAAGTTATTATTATGTATCTAAGTTAATTATTTTAGCTAAAATTATTAAAAAGACACCTATTTAAAAACGACCGTTTGAATCTTTCTGTTTTAACCTTAGGTAATATGAAATCGTGTTCGCGTTCTCTTAACGGTCTTTGTCTTTTAGGAGGAAGTAGTTCGTATAAAGGGTGGTCTGGGTTGCTACATATTTTTTCAAATAAACTCATGTCTCTTTCTTTAATCACATCAATTATCTGAACACTTTTTGTTGTGTATCCATATTTGTATGCTCGCCTAAGAAATTTATCAATCCGTTCCAGGTACTTCTTTTCAAGTGCAGAACCCCATACTTCGATTCCATAAGAAAATAAAGACATAATAAGTGCGTCGAAGAGAATTGTTAAATTTTTTTTAGAGTAGCCATACGATCTGCATATTCTCAAAATGTGCATTCGACTGCTAGCTTTAGATATCAAATTATTAACTTGAAGGTCCCAACAATTTGGATCATTCTGCAGTGTGGTTCCCAATAGTTTCAGCCAAGTCTTGCGTTCGATACCCGTTATTGGTTCTGGTAAAGGATTTGTTGATTTGCCACTTACAACCATTTCCCATGTTTTATCTAGATTTAATGACATTCTGTTTGTTTCCGTCCATTTTTCAATATTGTCTACCTCAGCTAGTGCGGAGTCATAATTATTTTTCACTGGAGCGCTAACAGTCATATCATCTGCAAATTTGACTAGTATGTTGTTATTTGGATCTTTGACTGTTAGATCATTTATCATTAAGGAAAATAGAAATGGTCCAAGAACTGTGCCTTGCGGTACTCCTTTGTTTATGTCTACATAATTTGTTTCTATTCCGTTTACTATTACAATTTGTTTCTATTCCGTTTACTATTACTCTTTGTCTCCTATCAGTCAAAAAATTTCTAATCCAATTTATTACATATGGATTAATGTTGGTTTTTCCTAGCTTCTTGCAAATGATGTTGTGAGAAACGGAATCAAAGGCTTTCTTCAGATCGAATGAAATCACCCTGACATGATCAACATCACCATCCAGCCAATTTAGCCATTTATGGTGACACATAATAAGAGCATCAGTTGCGCTGGTACCTTCCTTATATGCGAATTGGTCAGATTTTATTAATTGTTTTAGTTCTGATGAGATCTCTTTTCTTTCGAACAATCTCATTATTACGTTCGTAAGAGATATAGGCCTTAATTGTGTACATTCTATAAGGGGGCTTTCCTTAGGTATTGGATTAAGATTGGCTAATTTCCATAGGAGGGGAACGCGTTGCTGTTCCAATGACATGTTAAATATCTTTGATATCACTGGTGCTAGATATTTTGCGAAGTCTTTCCATACCCAATAGGGTAGGCCATCAGGACCTGTTGATGTTTTCTTTTGTTTTTCCAAAAACCTTTCTACAGTGGGTATATCAACATTTGGTACTCTAGTCTCATTGGGTATAGGAACGAGTTCAGGATATGTATAATTATCATCAGTGTTTATTGTCTGGAAATAACTATTTATAACACTTGGATCAATATTTATACTGGTGTGATTTGCCTTCCTACCGGTGATTTTATTAACTGTGTCCCACCATTTCTTCGATCCAGATGCATATTTCCCATTCTCCTTCTTAACTTCACTAACCATATTTTCTCGGATAAGCTTATTTATCTTTCTTTGTAGATCTTCGTTAACTCCTTTCCTCACACTTTTATTGCGTATTTTACATAAATGTTTTACCAGAGGAGAAATGTATGGGGGATCCCGTGTGGATAATTTTATCTTAATCAATGGAAAACTGTTGTTGAATGCAGAAGTGATAATATGATTTAATAACATAACTGATTCGTTCACGTCTTCACAGTCATCAATACAGCTCCAGTCTTGTGCTTCCAACTCTCTCACCATAACAAACTTCCAATGGTCTCTTGCATCTCTAAAATAAACGGTTTTTCTTTCCGGTTTTACAGCTACCCGTGGAGTTATCACGACAGCCAAATGGTCAGATTTTACTAAGCCATCAAAGACTCTAGGGTGATTC